TTTGCACATGGAGTGAATTAACCGTTCTGAGACCTCACTTAATGAAACGAATTAATTTGGAGAGGGCTCTCCCGTCTCCCTGGCCGCATGGGCACGGTGCGACGGACCGCTAATGCCTCCATTAGCCGCCGCCACTCCTGGTTGTGCGGCCGGGCTTCGGAGCCACGGGGTCCATGGAGACTGCTAGCAGTCTGGGCCCGGGGCCTCGGGAGCCTGCAGGCTCCGGCTTCTCCTCTCTGTTTAGTTTGGTTGGGAGTCGCGGCCGTGGTGAGCTCTGGCCTCTGGCTCTGTTTCTAGGAGCCACGTGGGGGACTCCTGGGAGGTGGGGAGTGGCTGGCTCCCACGCCTGCCTGCTTAGCCGTGGTGTTCGTGCTCCCCCCATCCCGACATCCCCCATCTCCCTTCCAAATCCTCCTGGCGTCTTGCTGGTAGTTCCATTGCTGCCTCCACTAGGGAGCATTCTGGAACTATCTCTCAGGATGGATCTTTTATCTGACCCTCCTCCCCATTAACACGCGGATGCTAGACCACTGTGCTCAACGTTGCTGTGGATTCTGGAGCAAAAGTGCCATAGTGCGAGCTACACCTCAAGCTCTTGAAAGCAGGGGCCACCCCTGCACTTTGGTGTTCTCTGTAGCACAGAGGGCAGCTCAACCCGCCCTGGCAGGAGCCACGACATACTGCCCAGATGCCCCTTCTGGAATGTACCACTGGAAGTACCGTGCAGACAGCCTCAGCCTCTGGCCCCCCAGGAAAACCACCCTGGCCGCTTAGCACTGCCCAGCCCAGAGTCACGCCCCTTCTCCAGGCAGCCTCTACCCGATGACCAATGGGCATGAGGTGATGAAGGGCCATCCCTCCACTCCATCTTGGGATAGCTCTAGAAAGTCACCCCAACTTCAGAACCCCCTAGCATCAGGCCTCTCCAAGACTGCACTGCAGGTCACCTGCTCTCTGCCCGGTCCTGCTGCTCCTCCTCCCCACTACAGGTATGGAGCCAAGGGCATTCCTTAACAAGCCCCTGTCCACTTATCCCCATCCCAAAGTCTGCTTCCTAGGGAACGCTGACCACAATAGTCGTTCATGGCTTCAATGTGTTCGTCTCTTAAAATGGAGCCAGGGTGGCGTGGGGGGAGGAACAGAGAACCATGAGCCCAGGTGAGGGACCTCACTCAAGGTAAATTCGGGCAGTGGGCCAGGGCTTCAGCCCTCTAGTGACCCTGCTCTTCTGCCCTGCATGCTGGGAGGGTACGAACCTCAATAGACCCCCTTCCAAGCAACAGGTCCCCAACCTGTGTGGGGACAGGGCATCTAAAGGCATATTGCTCTTTGAGGAACACGTGGAATACTCATTTAGTACATTTATATCACAAAATGAACAATTTTGTCTGAAATCAGCAAACCATCTTTTACTAGCTTCCAGAAATAAACAAGTGGTTACCAGTTGTTCAAATTTCAAGAACACCCTTAAAGAGAAAATCTTTGAACTGTCCATGAGCTTAATTATTTTTCTGCAAAACAGAAAAAGGACGCCCACAACTTACCCAAAGCAGCCCATGGAATGTAGGGGCAGAACCTGCGGATGGCTGCTCTGGGGGGCCTCCTTCCCTGCCCAGGCTCAGGGAGGCCCTGAGAGTGGGGCCAGGGCTTTAAGAGTTGATCCAGGAGAAGGAACCATTGATCCTGGGGCCCTGCCCCTGGAGGGAATGCAGGGCAAGGCATTCTGGGTTCACAAGCAAACCCAGAATGCTGCCTGGATCGAGGGACCAAGCCCAGCCTCACGGCAGACACCTGCACTCCACACTTACCTCGGATCTCCTCTCACTAAGACTGTCTCCAGGTGCTTTACAAGAATTATTAATAGTTCATTTAAGCCTCCCAATTAGTGGACCCATTTCACAGAAGAGAAAATAGAGCTTTCAAGACATGACATAATTTACCCAGATCACAGAATTAGTGAGCAGAGTAGGTGGGATTCCCATCCAGCCCCTAACTCCAGGGTATGCACCTTGACTGCTGCATTATTCAGCTTGCTAATCGCCTCGGACTTAAACAAGTGGAAAATAAAAGCAGTAGGGCACACAAAGCCCCCCAGCAGTCCAGCTGGAATTGGGATAGGACGCACACTTCCAGAAGACCAGGATTCTAGGTCCCCGTTTGCAAATCCCTGCTCTAGGCTATGGGAAGTCACGCAATCCCACTTCAGCTACATGCCCAGGCTGCATGGAGTCTGCAGCTATCGGAAACCAACTCTAGGCACTGGTCAGGAGATAGCAGGCCACAGACTCCTGCAGGCATCAAGGAGAGCCACAGAGACACCACGGGGTTACCAATGGTCACTTCCCTTCGCATGACAGGGGAGATGAGAGACATGCTACAGATTCTGGCTGTGCCCTCCGGCCACCAAACCTGATTCTGGTTACCTCCTCCTTTGCCACTTAGTGTGCCCAGGGAATGCAAGTGCCTCTCAGTGTGGTTTAAACCCAAATATTAGGAAGGTGAACCTGCAGTACAAAAGCGTTAACGACCAAGAAGGTTTGGCACTTAGCGAGGCCACTGCTATCAGTTATCAGCTGGGAGGGTTAGGGGTAAACCTCATAATATTCTGCAGCTGCTCTTTGAATATCAGAATCACATGATTTCCCAAGAAGGACTCAGGAGACTCCTGCTTTCAGACAATGTGGTCCTTAACCGATAGGCTGCCTGCTCTTCTCTCGAAAGTCCCTGTCCCCTGGGGATTCCAGGACAGCTCCAGGCTACGAGTGAGTGATGGATCGTGCTGTACCCATGACACAGGACGAAGAGTGGCGTGCCCTGGCTAGCACGAGCTACTCGATCAGCTCACGTCTGCTGCCCTGAATTGCAGAGTCTGGGCCCCCACCGGTCAAGATGTTCATTCTCTGAGTCTGTCTTTGGTCCAGCTGAAAACTCTGTTCTTCCCTTTAAGCGTATTTCCTCTAGCTTGGGTCCCTTTGGAGGTGGAGGCAGCTGCCCCTCCTATCAGTCTTCCATATGTTCCTCCCCTCTGGCCTCCTCTTTCCTGGCTGCAGCCCTCCAGCTCTCCGCACAGGACATACTTTCCACCCTTTTAATCATCTTTATTGCCTTTTGTTGGAGCCTGGCCCGGTCCACGGCCTTTGTGAGGTGTGCGGACCTGACCCGGGCATTCGCTAACTCAAGTGCGGCCCAGCGGAAGTCTGGCTTCCCAGGCCCTGTGTGTTGCGCTCCTCTTCCTACATTCCTGGGCCAGGCCGCCGCTTTCCGGAGGCCTGCCACTGTGCCACTGTCCAGGGGACTCCTGCTGAGTGAGAAAACCTGGCCCAGAAACGGACATGTGGGCTGGCCTGGATGCCGGGCAGCAGCCTGCCACTGCCTGGGCCCGGAGAAGTGGGTCAGAGAGGGTGACTTGTCATTGGGAACCTTGGGGACTTCCACACCTCTGAGACGCACGCTCTGGGCCCTCCCTGCCCTCAGAGACCACAGGGGGCCGTGGGAGGGAGGACATAAAGCCTCTGTTTTTCCTGACACCTCTCCAGGCCCCTGTGAACCCCATTCCTCCTGAGGAGTGCTCCCTACTTCTTCCCTCCACCAGGAACCCAGAAGCCAGGAGTTAGCCTGCGACGCTGCACAGCAAGGAGGCGGCACACACGGTGCAATTAACCACGCTCAGGACGAGGGCTTGGTCCAACTCTCCCTGCTCAGCTTTCTCTTTTCACGACTGGTGCTTCCGATTTCTCAGCCACGGCTGCCTTCCCCCCAGCTAGATGTACATTTACTGTCCACTGTGACTGATGCCAGACCCACGAAATCCACCAGCGGATGACAAGGCATTCTGGGTGCCCAATCCCATACCAACCCTGAGAGCTGTGGCCACCACCCGCCAATGCTTGTGCAGAGCCTGCACCGAGAGGAAGGATCAGAGACACAGGTCAGCCCTAGAGCCCACCCACCATGAAAGCAGGCGCTCCCAGTGCCGCGAGCAAGAGATGCAGCTGGCTACTCCTTGGCTCTCTGAGAACACTCCCTGTTCACTAATGGTAAAACCACGAGCCATCACCTTTATCTAAGAGTAAATTCCCTGTAGAGGAATGAACACCTCATTTTAATTCCTCAGGCATAAGCTTCTTTGTTCTTTCTTTTTTCGTATTTCCATCCAGAAATAATTTATGCACATTTAAGCAAAAAATAGGCTCTAACTCCCCCTTTTGCACAAATGGCCACACACAACAAACATTGTTCTGCACCTGAATTTTTGCACTTAAAATATATCTTGAAGACCTTTCCTTATAAGAAAGCCTCTTCGACAATAAATGCACACATTCCCGGGATGCCCGATCGCAGCTGCTTGTTCCCATCCAGGGCTGTCTCACTGCACCTTTCCTGGCCCCTTGCTGCCCCACACGACTGGGCCCCACGGGAGATCCTGGTCTCTGCCTTCGTTTAAGTGGGCTCCTCCCTCCAGGCATTTGGGAGCAGCAGCGTGGGCCACTGCCCATCTGTGTGTCTCCTGAGACAGCAGAGCAGGCACACACCAGGGACAACTCCAGGGACAATGACAGGAGAAGGAAAGACAAACACCCTTTAACTTGTGAGCTCCGGGAGCCTCCTGGAGGCCATGTCTCAAAACACGCAGCCAGAGAGGTCCTATTCCTGGGGACTGCCACTGTTGCCCTGAGATCAGTAGAAAGCGCGTCTCTCCTCCTGAACCACAAAGCCTGGGTCCTGCCCCCTCCCGACCGCCCCCCCTTCCCCAGGAAGAGGCAGTGGTGACAGTGGCCCTCACCTGGACTCCTGAAGGAATCCAATCTCTGGAACAACAAGAGAAGTGGAGCCGCCTCGCCCACGTGGGAATCCCAACCAGTAACCAACCGCATCAGGCTGCCAATCTCATCCCATAGGCATCAGCTGGTGGCCGGGCACAGCAGAACGCAGGCCAGATCTGCGGTAGCTCCAGGCGGCCGACACGGGCAAAGAAGACCGAAAGACGGAGGCTCTCCTACCTTCGATCGTTTCTCCTTCTCCGGAACAGCTTCTTGGTGTGCGCAATCTCCACTTCGTGGGGCATTGGGTGGTAGCCCTGCGTTGGTGGGGGAGGAAGGGGGAGCATGAGTTATTCGGAAAGCGAGCACAGCCCCTCTGGGACTGCAGGAACTACAGCAGCATCTAACACAGAGAGAAAGCAAGAGTTTGGAGAGACTAGACTCTGACCACCCAATCCAGGCTGAAAAATGGAAAATAATAGAGTTAGTGTATTTCCCACCAGGTCAATGATGTTGGAACTACAGAATCAAAGGACAATGGGGACAAAGGGCACCTTGAAATGCATTGTATCCAAGCCCTTGAATTACAGACGAGGACACTGTGGTCCAGAGAGGAGAATGAGCCACAGAGCTGGGGCCAGGCACTACTGCTCACTGGCCAAGTGCCCCAGGACAAGTCACTTCATTTCCTAACAAAATGAACAAAATGGGAACGTTAACACCTTCTTCTCTGGGCTGTTGAGAGGACCAAGGGTGTAAATTCTGCAAACCCTGAGCCCCATGAGGAGGAAATGTGTCTCTTAATCTTAGTCCAGACTCTCCCTGCACAAATTTTACCAAGACCCTCTTCTCGTACTCTGCCTAGGGAGTATTTATTAAATGTGCAAACAGCAAAATGCCCTTTTCAACTGTAAAGGAGGGATGGGGGAAATTCTAAGGATGGTCTTTTGTGTATTTTCATCATGACAACAACTATTTACACATTTATATCAAGGTTGGAGAGAGACCCACTCTATATAACACAGGCTGGTCTGGTGAGTGCCAGGCCCCAGGCAGAATTACTTGCAGAAGCTGGGCAGACGGCCAGCTCTGTTCTTACCACCCCTCAGCAACAGAAAAGCGTGTTCCGGTGGGACACAGCAGAGAGCAGGGCCATTCCATGATGGGCAGCCTGAGGGACAGCAGTCCGGTCTGGGGGCAGGGGTTGGTCTGGCTTGGGTCTGGGATACCTGGTACAGGCCTGATGCAGAGTCCACACCTGAGTGTGACCTTCTGAGCCACCTGTAGGGACCTGGGCATGCACAGGATGAGAGAGGAGCCACAGGGCCGTCTGCTGAAGAGTGGTGAGAGTCCATTAGGCCCAGACCCCTTCTTGACAGGCAGGGAGAGACTGAGGCCCAGAGAGACCATACAGTGAATTCTCTCTAATATTCATGGTTCTATGGGCAGCCCTGACCTCCTGTGGTGGGGCAGATGCAGCCCTCTGGATTGGGGTTCCCAACTGAGGGTCCCACCGTTCTGCCTTCACAGGGCTCAGCCCACACCCAGGGGAGGGGAGGGGTGGACATTCACAGCCCTGGCTGTGCTGGGGCCTGGCCAGTTTGGGGGAGCTTCCCAGAGGGGCAGTGGGAGGGAGGACACAGGGACCTTGACATTATGGCCACATGGCCAGGACGCCTACTGGGCCAGGGAGGGAATGACACATTTCAAAATACATTTTAACAACAGTCCTTCCCTCTTACTCCGTCTCTCTTGCCTCCAACGATCTAGCCAAAGAGCATGAATGAATTCCGGGCTCCAGGCAGCCACAATGGGCCTCTGGAGCCTGAGGATGTTCTTTGTTTAATGGTTCTCTCAAAGGATATTATTTGTTTTCTTTAATACAAAACACAAACAAGGAGAAACACCAGGTCTTCCCCTCTCGTTTCCCCTCTCCCACCCAGACTGAGCTCTGGGCCGGCCCCTCCCCGCCCTCCCTGCCCCTCCAGGTCACTCAGGAACATGCTGGGTGCGCCCCAAGTAGACAATGGACAGGAAGCTGAGGCTCCCTCCCGAGCCGGCGGCCTGCAGCGGGATCTCAGCTCCGAGGCTGGGCAGAGGGAGCTGCCCCAGCACCTGGCATAACCCAGGCCCAGGAGGCGCCAGCCTCCTCCGTCCGGACCTCAGGGTCCTGGCCTCCTCTGCCAGCCGGGGGCAGTGGCAATGAGAGCGTGGGGTCCTCTCCCTTCCCCAGGACTCCGTGTGGCCCGATGGGGCTCAGGGCTTCGCATGCAGCCACTGCTATGTCCCCTGTGTCGACCACCCATCCCAGAACAACACACACACACACACACACACACACACACACACATATGGAGAAAGAGACAGAGAGAGAGAGAGAACATGTAAATGCTGTCACAGTGCTCAGAAGCCTGGGCTCTGGAGCTAGACTGTGAGTGTTCAGATCTTGATGGCCGTGTGACTCTGCGTAGATGACCTAACCTCTATGTGCCTATGGAAATAATAGTCGCATCAGCCTCCTAGAACTCATGTGAGGGTTAAATGAGTTCATAAACATGCAAAGAACATAGAATAATGCCTGGTACATCATGAGCCTTAAAAAATATCTCAGTGTCATCACCATTATTGTCATCATCGTCATCATCATCATCATCATCATCATTATCCTCTTTCCCATGATCCTGACACTCTGATCAGGGCTGACTGTGCCAGGACAAACAAGGCAGCCCAGACACCTGTGCTGCTGGAGCCCCCGTGTTGGCAGAGTCCAGCAAGAGGTGGTGCACAGGGGAGGAGGGTGCTTCCGCACCCTCCAGGGTGCCCAGGCCAGGGAAGGAAGAGGGAATTCACGCAGCGCCTGGGGCCCCAGGCCAGTGTGCTAGGAGAGGGTGGAGAAGTTCTCTTTTGTGTTCTCTTAGGCCAGAGGCCACCAGACCCTAGCAGGCAGCCAGACATCAGCTGAACAAAGTGACAAAGGTAACAGAACAAACCCTTGCGCCCTTGGAGGGCCCTCCCTCTCCAGGAATAATCCAGGTGAGGGCTACAGAGGACTGGCCCCACCCATGAGGCCACCATGGACCCCAGCCCCAATGTGGCATCTTGATGAATAAATGAAAGAAGCTTGCTTCCTTCCCTGGGGCATTTTACATAGAACTTCCCAGCACCAGGAACCAGTTTTATGCTCCTGCATACAACGGGGAGCACTGTGTTTACACAAGCTTCCCTCAGTGGACTTTCTTCAATCGGCCACCTTGTTTCTCAAACTCAAGGGAGTGGTTGGTACCAAGAGATACACACCACTCCAGTGCTGCCCACACTCCCCCCAAAACAAGGGCATTTGGGTGTTAACAGGGCCTCGATGTGAGGCCAGCAGAAGGAGAAGGCTGTGCTGAGCCACACACCTGCCACCAGCCATGTGGCTGGCCCGAGTGAGCAGAGAGGTCATTGCAAGAGGTAAGACAGCACTCGAGTGGTCACAGAAGCCTTGTTCGTGACAGCCAAAAAAATGGAAACAACCCAGCCCACATCAACTGATGACCAGATAAACTGTGACAGATCCACACAAGGAATATTACACGGACACGAAGGAAGGAAGCTCTGATCCACGCTACAACATGGATGAACCTCAAAACTGTCATGCTCAGAGAGGAAGCCAGTCACAAAGGACCGCACATTGTATGATTCCATTTTTTTTACAAACTGTCCAGAACAGGCTAATCTGCAGAGATGGAAAGTAGATTAGAGGCTGCCAGGGGCTGGGGAAGAGGGAGAATGAAGAGTGCCTGCTAACGGATACTGGGTTTGGGGGCTGACAAAAATATTCTGGAATTAGACAGTAGTGATGGTTGCACAACCTTTGTGAATATACTAAAACGCACTGAGTTGCATACTATAAAAGGGTGAATTTATGGTAGGGAATTTTATGCCAATAAAAATAGGGTAAAAATATCTGGGGGCAGTATATTTCAGGTAGAGGGAAGAGCATGTGTTAAGAAGAAGAAAAAAAAAGGAGAATGAGAAGGAGAAAGAGGAAAAGGAGGAGGAAAAAGAGGAGAAGGAAGAGGGGAAGAGAGGAGGGAAGGGAGGAGGGAGAAAAGAGGAGGGGGAGGGGGAGATCGTCCATCACAGTGAAAAGTGCCCCTCTTGCCCATTTAATCTTGAGGAAACAGCTGCCCAAACACATTGCCCATAAGATAGGGCCAGGAAAGGTGGCACGTCCTAGCCAAGGGGCGCCTGGTGACAGGAATGACTAATAAAGGACCTGGAAAAGAGCCTGACCTCATGCTCCTGGTGGCCTGGCCAGGGAGATGCTATTCTGGCTTTAGACCACAGATCCCTTCTTGCTTTTTAAGCTAGGATATATCCCTTGAGTGGAGAACAGGAAATTTACCCTTTAAGAGCATACAGCGTGGCGTTTGCTTTACTTATTTGCCCAACAAATGTCTCTGCTCTGTGGTCTGAAAGATCTCCTTGTGGCCATCAGCCCAGGTACAAGCCTCCCCCCCCCTTCCCCACACCCCCACGAGAGAACGGCCTTGGTGTTCCCAGCTGATTTTGTGAGTTTGGTCAATCTGAGCCCTGTGGGCCTCTGGAGCACCACCCTGGAGCACCACCCTGGAGCAGGCCCTGCCTGCTCCCGTGACTTCTTGCATGAGAACCATTCTCCCTTGCGCTCTGAGACCTGGCTGCAGTCCCCCCCGTTTAACGTCCGACCACTTGCAATAACTAAATGGGCCCGGGAGACAAGCAGATTATATAAACCAAGCCTCTCCAGGGACGGAGGGAAGATAATACTCCCTCCACATGCAGAGTACACGTGGAACACACACGCACACACACGCTCTGGTCCTGCAGGCCGGTGCTGCTGGAAGACGCAACACCGAGGGGCAGCATCTGTTACTACTCCGGTTGCAAAAACATGTTATGTAAAATCAGCCCATTCTGGGGCAGGCTGAGGCTGCTATCTCGCAACCTGGGGTAGAAGGTATTTCTGAGGGATTAGGGCAGGCCCAGCAGAGCTCTGGCCCCGGAACATGAGCCCCAGACAGCTAATAATCCCAGGCTGGGAGCGCTCGGGCCTTGCCCAGAGATGACAACTATGAAAAATAAATCTTGGGTCTGGGGGTGAGAGTGGGAGGAGGGAGGGCACTGAGCAGAGAGCGTGTGTGTCTGGTGGCTCCCAGACCAGCTGACACCGTGCTAAGAGTGACATGCCTCCCCTGGGCCACAGCTCCCATCCACCCACCCACCTATCCTTCCATGCACCTACCCATCCCGTAAGTGTTGTTTTAGGTACTGTGGACAGAGTACTGAAAAA